CGCGTTACTGCCCATCTCTGGTCCTGACTCACACAACATGGTTCTCATGTGAATAACGTGAGTTTGTGTGATTAGTTCGTGTTGTTTTTATTTACATTTTACAGCCCAAGTTTTCCAGACTGTGTTGATACATTGATGCAACATCACTGTTGCACGGCAACCAAAACAGCTGACATGTGCAGTGGACGATGGGGAACGGGACGGTGGTGCAGTGAAAACGGCTGGTTTGGAGATCAATGCAAATCTGCTTCCTGTTATCACCTGCATGTTGTTCCTATGACCTAAAAACTAATATTTTATAAAGTGGTGACCAGTGTGTCAACAAACACTCAGGAGGAGAAGACATGGACGCTCTAAACCTCTAACAGAAAACTGGTTTCTATTATTCAAACACATGCAAACAGAACAACTGCAGCAGTCTGCTCTCAGGGCCTTTCAGGGCGCGTTACCTTCGACAGCAGCTTGGTGAGGTCTTCAAAGAGGTTGGAGCAGTAAAAGTCACAGTCATAGTTAATGTAGAGCTCAGTGACAAAACTGGGGATCCTCCACAGCTGGACCAGTGCCTCCAGAGCCACCTCCTTCATCTCGTAGGGCATCTTAATGTTCTCTGACGTGATGATGTCTATGAGCTTCTTCAGGTACATCTGAGCAAACAGAGACACGGCCATCAGGTCCTCAGGGACCAACACTATGGAAGCTGAATGACAGGAGTGTGGATCAAAGAGAACAGCTACCTCGAGCTGGAACTTCAGGTGCACTCTCATGCTCTCAAAGAGCAGGAAGCAAACCCGTATGGATGAAGCGTACAGGTTCATACGGTCCACACTCAGCAGCTGGAACACAGATGAGGGACTTCATCAGCAAGGCCTCAAAACTACACCAGAGCACTGCCCTGCAGAGGACTCATCAGTCCATCTGAGGTCAGATAACTCAGTCGAGAAGGTTAAGAGCAGATCTCTGGGTTTATAACCTAAAACACTCCGGTCATGTCTGTCATTAGCAGTGAAACACAAATATATGGTGCACACCAGATGCTTTCGTTCAATAAAAAGCCAATAAAAAGACTCCGATCAGCACAGAGTTACCAAAATAAGACCGCAGGTTTGACGAGGACTGCTCCTCACTGTCATCAGCTCAACATGCAGCAATGACATCATCTACATTTAACTTACCTGGAACAGGTGTCGGCAGAGCTCGTCTTTGACCAGCACTAACAAGGACTGGTAGTTAGGGATGTGTGCCGACTCCAGGGCTACGGTCAGCAGCTGCAGGCCCATGTGCATCATGGCATCAGTGTTGTGGCGGTCATGAGGGTTGGTCAGTGAAATCAGGAAACGAAACAGCTCTCTGAGACACGGCAGGCCATACGGGATGAGGGATGCTCCTGCAGAGGCAAGAGGTTAGAGAGAACCACTCTACAGCTTTATGCATCACAGAAATGTGGAGCTCTCAGATCAGCTTCTTCTTGCTACATTCAGCTGCATCCTACCATCTCTCTGCGTGGACTGTGTGAAGCGGACGCCTCTGGGGTTGACGTAATCCATATCATGCACAGAGGCACTGTCTGACTGCTCTGTAATGGAGTCTTTGTCCTCCAGAACCTCAGGGATGGACTCCACCGAGGCTGACGGGGCTGGTTCAGCCTGCTGGCCCTCAAACTGGACAGAAAGAGGCGCAGCAAAGAGATTAGGGAGAGCCGAGGAAATGTCTCTCACGCAGCTGAAGATGTAGAGCCATTAGAAACACGTTCACCTGTGCATCTGTAGAGCCGGACTCAGTCCCTGCGAGTGCAACGGCTGCACCAGCGGTTGATGCAGAGCTGCACTGGTCCAGGTCAGAAAGGTCTTCCCTGGAAGTGGTTTTTGAGCAGGTGTCCAGGCCGCTGTCGGTGGC